CCACGCGCAGGAGACATGCCACCCCCTCCTCCCAGAGCACCTGTAGGTGATCCATCATCGTCGGCCACACGCAGAGGCTCTCGATCCCCACACACGCCTGGGAGATGTAGGATTCATGACACGACAGCAGTTCAGCAGGACGTGTGTGACACGACGATATTCGGGAGGACAGACATAGATTTGGATTCCACCCGCCGTGTCACGGAGCACACTGCACGCCTTCAACCGGGCTTGGGACCCCGCGGTGCCAGGACGACCTCGGCGAGGGAGGTACCGGCATCAGGTTGTGAGCCTCAGCGAGGTCGCGACAGAGGAGTGTCCACCGAGACCTTGGAGGACGCTCTGAGAGCAGCGACGAGTGCCGTGCAGGAGCAGACTCCACGCAAGCGTGGAGTGCCTCCTTGTCCACGCCCCATGCCTGCAGAGGGAGGCGCTGCACTCGGAGAGAGTTTGGGGGCGGAGGGGTTGGGGATGCCTCGTGGATCCCGTCGTGAGCCGACCGTTGCAGAGGCTAGTGCGATGGTTTTTGTGTTGAGGAAGGGAGGAGGCTCAGTCACCATCGAGGAGGATGATCGTGATACGGATGCGGCTGTGCGGGAGGCGGATGAGGACTATGAGGGCGAGGAGGGGGGAGAGGAGGAGAGCACGAGCGGTTCTGATGGTGACGACGACGACGACTACGATGAGCCCCCACTTCCCCCAGGACCCCCACATACGCGTGCATCTACACGCTCCGCTGCGCGGACTTCTTCATCCTCACGAGGGAGGAAGAGGTCGATATCCGGCACTCGAGGGGGTACGAGGAGACAGAGCGGGAAGGGGAAGAAGGGTCGTTGACCGATGAGGCCAACACTACGCTTCTCCCCTACTCGCACTGTACGTCGTCATGTTGTGCGGTCCTAGTTTTTTTGGTCGTCTGAGTCGTCTCGTCTTGTCTCAGTATTGTCAGACACTCAGTGGTAGTGTGCGTGCTTTACTTGTTGGTGTGTATGATTTTGGTAGTAGTAGGGTGTTCGTAGAGTATCGTCGGTTGCAGCAGACTGAGTACAGACTGTACAGTATCTCAGCAGCTACGACACGACTTGTAGACTACTGTTTCTTGTATTTTTTTCGACATCTGGTGCCAGTGCCTTAGCAGTACGATACATTGTATCATGTTACATTTTGCATGTGTAATATAAGTGTCAGCCTGTCAGGTACTTCGCATCATTCACGACTTTTCATGTACATTACATTTTCTGTTACGAGTGATGCACGTTGCGTGCCTATTTTTTTTTCGGTGTGTGATTTTATATCTTTAATTGTTGTTCTCATTTTCAATTTCATTTCTTGCATTTTTTTCTTTTAATTTATTTATGGCTTGGAGAGTTCGGTGCTTGTTTTCTTTTTGTTTCTGTCTTATTTGTTGATTCTATTTGCATTGAATGGAATACYAACTGATGTTTCGGGGGGTGCACAAGGTAGGGTTTTTTGTGGTGGGGTGGGGGGGCTGTCTCTCCTCGCCGTCCATGCCTCCTGCACTGAGGAGGAT